TCCACGACAATGGCGCCAAAAACTTGACACACTACGCCACAACACCAAACTGCGACCAAGTGTAATCGCAATCCGGAAATGCAGAATAGTGGAAAATTCTAAATATCAACCCGGGGTCTAGATCTACTACCTACTCCGTGATTATCTATTATATAGCCAGCTAAGTCGATTGATTGTTGTTTTAACTAAAAGTAGTAAGAAAACAGGAATTGGTTCGGTTTTCTGAAGCAAAGGAAGAGTCACTCAGGAATGAGTCCCCCTAGCTCCTTAGTTAGGTCTCACTTGTAATTACCCTGGGTTGATTTACTGTTGATTAAACTACGGAAGATCCGACAGTAGCTTGGAATCTCTTAAACTGACCAAGCCCTCTAAGTCTAACTACCAGGCAGACGACTAGTCTTCACCGGGATAGAAAGCTAAATCAATAAGCACAGAACTCCACTGCTAGAATTGGATTCCAGTACAAAGCAGTAGACTGACTAACTCTCGTATAGCCAATCTACTACTACCGAATGAAGAAGCTCTCACAACCTAATTAGATTCTATCTATCTCAGGTTGCAGCAGAAATCAAGAAAAGCTGATCAGACTTCAATCAATTCAATGAATCATGCATCATTCGATTAAAACCAAACAGTATTGCAATCCCAAGTCATTACAATAATGATCCCTAACACATGGAACTAGGGTTCTTCATACCCAAGTGAGAGAAGGGTTCTACTCCATAGAAAGAGAGAGAGAGAGAGAGAGAGGAAAATAGAATACAAAGCAGTCATACTCATAACAATGGGAGGAATATGCTCTGGGATGATGATTTTCACTCCTATGATGATCTCCAAGCTCGATTTGATGAAACCCAGCTCCAAGATTGCTTCTAGGGTGTGTTCTTCGCTCTTTCTCTCTCTAGGGCTCTGTTTTGCTCTGCAAAGTCCATTTTTTCACTTGTGGCTCGAAATTGGGTTAAAACCCAGAATTCCCGACTCACACGGGCAGGCCACACGACCATGTGGCTTTCCCAGGTTGCCCGTGTGAGTTTGCAAAACACAGAGTTTCGATTAAGTGACTTCAGCCATCCCACACGGCCACGACCCACACGGCCGTGTGGACTTCCAGGGTGCCCGTGTGAGTTCCCTAGAATTTCCACACGGCCACAAGGGGTCCCCTACACGGCCGTGTGGCTTTTAGGCATGCCCGTGTGGCTTCTCAGCTTTTCGCCAAACGTCCAAACTTTGTCCAATCGTCCCCGAACTCGTTCCCAAACCTTCATTCACGTACTAGGACCTGAAATATCACAACCAAGCACAACCTAGCATGAAATCGGCCTAAAACACGAGAATCAACATCTCAAACGGCTCAAGAATAGGGGTAAAAACATGTGCAATTAACGGTCTATCAACTTCCCTGTGAAACCATCCGATCCCGGAGCCTGTTTCGAACCTATGGAAAAGACCGTACTCTGGACCTCACTAGGCAAAACCTCCGCCGTCAATTTTGCAGTCATTTGCGGAGTAACACTATGGGCAATCGGCAGAGCCGCCACCCTCTCATCCATGTTAGGAACCTGAGTTTCCGAGGTAAACAAAGTCTGGTAAAAATTGGTGGCAATAGAAGCCTTTCCGGTTTCCTTAGTGACCCATTCACCCTCCTCATTACGAAGCCCAGAAACGAAATTCCTCTTCCGGTGCGCCCTTGTGACCGTATGGAAGTAGGCAGAATTTTGATCCCCTTTTTAACCATTTAACCCTGGATTTTTGTTGCCAGAAAACCTCCTCCGCTTCCCACTGGTGGGAGAGTTCCATTTCCAGGGTCCTGATCTCATCCCAATCCACCGGGTGGACCAATTTTATCCTATCAATCTCGGCTTGGAGCGTCCTGATATTGCGCAGGGAATTAGTTGTGCCCGCCCTGCTCCAATCATATAGCAGATGACGGAGTTTCTTTAGGTGTTCCCATAGCCGAAACATAGGGGTGCCTTGGACCTCCTCCTGCCAGACATAGTTGACCATGGCCCTTACTTCCGGATTATCCGCCCAACGAGCATCAAAACGGAAAAGAGGCCGACTAGTACGAACATATGGTTTATCAGCAAGGAGAAGGGCACGATGGTCTGATCCCTGGTCCGTGAAGTGTTTGACTAGTGTCTCCGGGAATGTATCAATCCAGGCCTGAGAGCAAATTGCTCTATCCAGACGAGCACGAATGCAAGCATCACCCATGCGTTTATTTGTCCAAGTAAATTGATCCCCTTGGTAACCAGGGTCGTGGAGACCCAAATCATGAACAAATTCACGGAGACTAAAGGCTTGGGCAGCATTCCACGCCCGCCCCCCATCTTTTTCACTCTCATGAAGAGTAGCATTGAAATCCCCTATGATCACGTAAGGGTGATTGATATTCGCGCAAACTTTACGCAAATGAGCCAATTGGGTAGCTCGAACAGCAATATTACAACTAATATAAACAAAGATCGCAACACAAGAAAAGTCTCCTTCATTAATTTGCGAACAAATATAGAAGTTTGAATGACAAAACACCGAAGTGTCAACTCCGGGGGACCAAGCAACTACTAAACCACCTGGTGCATCGACTGCATCTACAAAAAAACAATGAGAAAGAGCAAAACCTAGACCCCGCATACGGTCGGACACTACACGCCGGCTCAATCGTGTCTCCGAGAAAAACACGAGATCCGGTTTATTGGACTGAACAAGCCCTACAGCAGTTTGGAAAGTGAGGGACGACCCAATTCCTCTCACGTTCCAGGCCAGAAGCCTCATTTATCCGCTTGGGGCCATTCAAGGCTGGCTTCCTCCACCTTTTCCAGATCATCAACCGATTCCACAAACTGCTTCTTTGGTGCAGGAGGGTTACCCACCTCCCCCTTCAACTCATCGAGCACACGTTTCCGATTTTCCATGATAGAGTCCAGCATATTAGACCCATATTCATTCAGCCTTGAATTCACCCCCTTTCCCCCACCATCTTCCTCCCTTGCAATGACTAATCCAGTTTCAAATGCTTCCACTACTTGATGAACACGCCCTTTCATGATGTGGCGAGTTGTTTTCAAGGAGTCTTCTACTGGCGACCGTCGTTTGATCTCAAAGGAGTGATGATCTTCAGCTGCCTGATCATCATCAGACTCAGTGTCATTTTGTTGATTAACATCAGCTGGCTCGCCCAAAGGAGCAACAAAATCCTCTCCTCCAAGTCAAGCAAATCGCCAGAAGGAGTAGAGCCACCATCCTTTTGAGTCAAACTTAGAGCGCAGACCACTCCTCCTTTTCGAAGACGCGGGCGAACCCTGGGTTTCGAGCTAGGCTCATTCGTCGGCCCACCCCCAATGGTCACCTCATCCTCCTCAGATTCCTCTTGTAAGATCAGCATGCGCCTCCTCGAATGCTCGAAAGCTTCTGCCATCTGACCTGTAACCTGTTGACGTTGTGGAGCCTGCTTGGCACGCCGACCAGGCTGCTGGAGCCCCTTAGTGCCCTGCCAAGGAGGAGGAACACCCTGTCTGGGAGATGCCTTCTTTTGGTGTTGTCGAACACTTCCACCAATCTTAACCCGAGGCGATGTCTTGAAGACAAACCGCTTAGGACTAGCACGACTCCCAAGAGGTTTTGTGTTGGGTCCTGTCTCTGAGGCTGTGTCTCTCTCTTCTTCTGGGTGTCCGGCTCTCTCGAGAGAGAATGCGACACCACTTGGGCATGCTGGCGGGCATTAGTACCCAAAAATCTGCTAGCAACCTTCTCACCCCCATCATTTTGCACTTGGGTATTTCTATTCACCCACACCGTTTTGCTGACATTGCGCAACTGAGGGTAATCATCCTCCTCAAGATATATCTTCCTTCCTGGCTTACGTGTAGACATGTGTGTACCAAAACGTTCCTTTCCAGACGGGGGGCCAAAAACACATTCTGGCTTTGAGTGCCCTACTCGACCACAATGGTAGCAGAAGGTTGGTAAAAACTCATACTTGAGATTGACCCAGAAGCTACCAATCTCTTCACTAACCGCCATGAATTGAGATCGCAGAGGCTTGGTGAAATCAATGAGAGCGTGCACTTTCACAAAGCCCTCATCCGTTTCTCTGGATGCAAAGACATCTGCCTCCAAAACTTGTCCTATAATTCCAGCTGCCACTTTCCGACCAAACTGTTTAGTGCAGTCTTCCTTCACATTCCAGAGCTGAACACGAAAGGGAGCAATGGCCAAATCATCAAATGTGATCATGGAGATAGTTGGAGTCCAGGAACGTAGATGGAAAATCCATTCCTTTACGATCTAGGGTGATTTTTTAAGAATCCAAACCCTTGTCTCCTCACTGGGCAAGATAATTTCATATAGGCCAAATTTCGCTGCCGTAACCCTAAGGTTTCCCTTTATCCGCCAAGTCTCAATCAAACCCTCCCTCGGCTCCATTGGTGTGAATTTGGTTTCTGAAAATAATCTCCCCAAAAGGGTCCTCGAAGTACGAAACTTAACCGACTGGACCTCATCGAGTGAGAACGCCACCACTTGATCTTCTGCTATGCGCGCCATAGTTTGCACCTGACACAAAGGAAGAGTTAAATTGTTAGTGGTAATAGAATTAGCCATAAAAGGCTCTACCACTACTCCATCTGCGAGTCGCACCAAAGGGCGGGACTCTGCCACTGCTCCCTTTTCGAGCAACCCCGAAGGGCGAGCCACCACCGACTCATCCGAATCAGCGGCCAACCAGGAAGGAGGCAACAGCCGAGAACTTCCATTTACATCTATCTCGTCCAAGGACTCCGGCATCGGCCGCCTAAGCCAAGAAGCAGCAGGTGCTGGCGGCAGACGATAGCTAGGAGTACTGACAAACAGGGAAGGAGAAGCTAGGGAGAGAGACCCTTTACCTGGTCGGGGGTCCGCCGTCGCTGCACACACAATTTGGGGACGGATTGTTTTTTCCTCGCTGCCCACCGTCACCAGCCGATGAGAATTAAATCGTGAAGGGACAGTGAGAGGACGCTTCAATTTATTGAAAAAGAGTCTGAATTCCCCAACAGCAGGTGAGAGCCCCTTTTCCTTCCGTTTCTCAGAGCTCGAATTGGAATAGGAAAGTCCATCCACCCAATCGAAATCGGATTTCCGAACTGTGAGTAATTTTCGCGCATCCCGCCCAACCTAGCTGGAATCACGGCAGAAAATCCCGTCAGACCAACCCAGCTCAGGCGAGTTTTCACCAGCCAGTGGATGTCGGTGGTGCCACCAGCCTTGACGATCCCCTCTCCACCGGTGACCTTGGGAGTGAAAATTTCGGACTGGGCGTTCACCCTTCCATCCTCTGGAATTAGGTAGGTACACCCATCCCCGAGGGGTTTTCTTTGATCCTCAAAATCCCTAAAATTTTCTATCTTCCGAAGAAGCTCTGTTTTCTTTCGTAAACAGGGTTCCCCCATCTCTGTTTTCGCTTGCTACGCCGGCACAGGAGGAGTCCCAGCCCCTAAGGGCATCACTTTAAACACATAATCATTCCGGTAAAGGGTCTCAGTGATGTGAATGGTGGTGTGCTTCTTTCCCCCCTCCACCAAGACCAGATGCGATTCCTCATCCTCGAGTTCAGACGAGTGCGAAAGTCGAAACCTCCATTCACCCAGCATCTTCTTCCTACACTTTTTTGCTGGACGTTCTTCCTCAATTAAACTCGTTACAACCGTCCTCTTATACGACCTCTTTCTTCGGCGGATCCATTCACCGCGACGCTGAGCAAATTCTCGAGAGAATGTTTTTCAGCAGCGGATCGCAGGATTTGGGAGAGTATGACCGTCCGAATAAAGTATGTTTCCCTGCAACCCCGATTGAAGGAGACGATCTCGCTTCAACGATTGCGCTCCATCCTTTTCCTGGATCTGATTCCTCAGACTCGCTATGAAAACGGCGGCGACGGCCCTCACCAGCCACCGTCCGAGCCGGGAATAGAAAAAGAGGAAAGAGGAGAGAGCTCTTTTCATTTTGTTTTTTCATTTTTGGGTTGGTATATCTTGAATGTTGATCTACAGACTATTTCATTGTGCCAACGACGCAGAGTGAATGCAGTACCAAGGGATCTCTACCGCTACCGTGATATTTGTTACATTTGCTACTTTGTTTGCCCTTCCATTTTGCAACTTCTTCTTCCACAGTTTCTGACAACTGATCTTGGACAGCTCTACGTAGATTTAACAAGAGTTACAACAAAACAAGGAATTAAGATTCTTAGCTGTCATGATACGGTTGATGGCGCAAAGGCAATGCACAATATTGTCTATACTGATATCTTGGAATGATAGCATGATTTTTTTCCACTGAAAATACTATTGTAGCTACCCTCTTACTCTTATATATTGTTTGGTTCACTTTACATTTGCAGGCCTCAATTTTTCAGTTACGTTAATGAAACTGACATACTTTGTTGGGGCACAGCGGAAATATGGTGAGATGGATCGAAAATAGAGGAAATTCTTTCACTCTAATATCTCACACAACTAGGCAATTGTTGCCTTTTACATTAGAGCTGCTGCTCTTGATTGTTCTACTTCTACCCTCACAAATACTGCCCACATTTTCCCATAACGGTCTAGGCAAGTTTATTGCCTTAACCCTTGAGAGGAGCCTATGCTCTCTAGCTCACTCTGCCTTACATGCCTCAATGTGGCTTTCTATTTATATTGCCATGACAAGGCTTTCCCCCACCTATACACGTAGCAAATACATTGGTGGTAGGTTTAGTTTGTGGCTTGAGTTTATTTCTATTATTTTAGTTCCAATAATGTAGGTAGTTGGGTAGTTGAGCTTTTCTCCAATATTCTGCACATGGGAATCATATGGAGATGTCTAGAGCTTTGAGGAGAATTGTGGATTATGGACTTTTGACACCCCCTCTTAATCCGCAATTCGTAGTTGCTCCTTAAACTTCTTGAAATTTTTTCAAGTGACCCACTTCGTCATGATGTATGCTTGATTTCTTCACATTGAGTGAATTTTGCTTCTTGATCATCTTCTTGTTTCTGCTTGAACCAACACTCCCTTTGGGAGTGATTTGGATTCTTGCTCTTCCTGTATTTGAATCGTTGGATTTTCCTCTACGATTTTGCTCCTTCTTGGTAGTTCATCCTCTACTTCTGACATTTTGCCAGAATCTTCCTCCATCACGAACATTGTGTTCGCCTGGACTGCTGCCATGATTTGGGAGAATTTTTTATGGGTAGGATATATGGGACTGGTTTAGGAGGATAAGATAGTAGCATCGGATCTGATACCAAATTTGTTGGGGCACAGCAGAAATATGATGAGATGGATCGAAAATAGAGGAAATTCTTTCACTCTAATATCTCATACAACTAGGCAATTGTTGCCTTTTACATTAGAGCTGCTGCTCTTGATTGTTCTACTTCTACCCTCACAAACACTGTCCACATTTTCCCATAACGGATTAGGCAAGTTTGTTGCCTTAACCCTTGAGAGGAGCCTATGCTCTCTAGCTCACTCTGCCTTACATGCTCAATGAGGATTTCTATTTATATTGCCATGACAAGGCTTTCCCCCACCTATACACGTAGCAAATACATTGGTGATAGGTTTAGTTTGTGGCTTGAGTTTATTTCTATTATTTTAGTTCCAATAATGTAGGTAGTTGGGTAGTTGAGCTTTTCTCCAATATTCTGCACATGGGACTCATATGGAGATGTCTAAAGCTTTGAGGAGAATTGTGGATTATGGACTTTTGACATACTTTGATGGCGACGCCAACTTTTTAGGTTTTTCCGCATCTGAATTGGGGTGGAGAAAAAGGCCAGTTTATTGTTATTCTTGGGCATAACTTAATTTGTTCCATTTGGACCAAGGTGTCACAGTTTAATTTTTTTGATAGTGGTGATGAAAATTTTATTAGAAAAAAGGAAAGCCAAATGTCCAAAGAAGAATAAAGTCCAGAACCAGTGCAAACAAACAAAGAAATCCGGTTTAGAAGCACTGAACTACAACAAAAAAAAAACACAAGGCCGACAAGAACAAAGCAAGGGCGAGAGCCCAGCAAGCCGAAAGCATCGGCAAAAAGCTAGGTGGACCAGAGCACCATCTTTAAACAACCCAGCAAGCTGAGAACCACACCACCATCGCTTCAACCAGCCATTAAGAAATCCACGAGCAGAGAGACTAGCAATGCAATCCACCAGCTCTGCCACCCGTACGACTGAAACAGTGATAACGATGTAATTGCACATATTTGCGCCCCTAGTTCTTATCCGTTTGAGGGGCATAGTCGTGTATTTTTTGCCTATTTTACGCCGGGTTATGCTATTTTGTCATATTTCAGGTCCCATGCGTCAAAGGAAAGGCTAAGCACGAGTTTCGGGTCATTCGAAAGTCATTTCGTCGAGCTGGAGCCAAAACACGGGCACACCTAAAACAGAACACGGCCGTGTTCTGTGGCCGTGCTTTTACTGCCGAGAGCTAATTGAGTTTGGCAAATTCAAGCTGCAAACACGGGCTGAAAGCACGGCCGTGTCAAGCAAAGCACGGCCATGTCCTCTCAAAAGCACGGCCGTGTTTCTCCCTACACAATGGCCGTGTAATTAACCCTAGCCAAAGCACGGGCGGGCTGAGGCATTACACGGCCGTGCCCTCGACCGTGCTTTGGCCACTGATGCCCTTTTAAGCAGATTTTCAGCCAAACAGAAGGGGATTCGAGTTTTGAGAGAGATAGAGCGATTCCTAGAGAGAGAAAGTGACGAACAAGAGTCTCCAAGTGCCCTAGCTTGATCTTCATCACCAATGGAGGCCAGTTTGAGCTTGGAGAAGTGCCGATCAACGTCCAGAAGCAGGAATCCATCCTTCACAGTATGAATTCCGCATCTGATTCTGCTTTTGCTTCTTTCTCCATGGAGTAGTTCTCCCATTCATCTGGGTATGGAGAACCCTAGATTTGTATGTTAGGTTTGATTGTATGAACCCAAGTACTGATTCTATGATTTGATTATATTCAATTGAGGTTTGAATGATTGAATGGCATGAATCCTGATCAAATTCCTGTTGTTTCTGCTTTAACCTAGAATGAGAATATCTGCCTAGGTTGATAGAGCATCCTTGATTGAAGGTAGGGAGTTGGTGACTTTAGTCGAGGAGCCAACTCACTATTCTGTACCGGTTTTACTCTGGTAGTGGAGGTTTTGTTCGTTAGGGCCTCAATCTGTTTACTCCGGTGGAGGTTAGTCGCCCGCTAGAGACTCAGATTGAGAGGGTCTGAAGACCTTTAGTCGAGACTTCAGGCTGTTTAAGAACCTTCCGCAGTATAACTATCATAGAAACTGAACTTAGTAATTACAATCCGGCTTAACTGCAGTCTAGGGGGAACCATATCCGGGTGACCTCTCTTAACCTGAATACAACAGTTTACTTGCTTTGTTAGTTTGTTAGTTTAGACTTGCATTAAAGTTTCATTGCTAGATAACAAGAATTCACTAAGTAGTCATCAAATCTAGGACCCGGGTTGACATTTAAACCTAAACCCGCTATACTACGCTTTAGGAAGTGGTTTCACTTGGCCAATTCCTAGAGTGACAGTAGAAGTGAGTGAAACAGCAGCTCAAAGTCCTCCATCACTCAGCCAGCTAGAGCTGCAGCTAGGGGCGGAGGCAGTGGGTTGGAAGGGGGTGCCACTGCACACCCTTGGATGTGGGAGAAAGAGTTAAAATTAGTAGGTTGTAATGAAACATTATTTTTAGTGCTTAATTAGTATTTCTGCCATCAAACTACAAGTAATAATGTATATTTAAATTATCATATAGATTATATCATAGTTAGTAGATGAATAAAATAAAATAATAATAAAAACATATGCCATTAACTCGGCCTTTTTAATATGTAATTTTTCATACGATAATTGTTATCTCCAACGTATAGTGACTTTTATCCTCTCACAATACAAAAATGTCAACTTATTGGGGTTCTATTATCTAACTATCTTGTCAAACATGGTTGTTAAGTCGCTCACCTCTAGCATCTCATTCCAATCGACGTTACTCGGTTATCCATGATCATTAGATTGACTTTAACGTACCTAATTGTCCATGGTTTGGAATGATTAGCAAATCACAAATCATTAGTTGGTAGGACATATTGAAAATAAGGTCTTTGGTAGTCTATATGAAGAATATATATTTCAAAAGTTTATAGTAGACAACATTCTTAGTCATTGCAAAATAATCTCATATAATATAGATTTTTTTTAGAAAATTGTAACACCTACACTCAGCCGCTTCCCTCAAAAGATGCATAAATTGTCTTCAAGTCTAGCAAAGACGCAAGTAGAGTAGAGTGGAGTTGAACCGAACCGCACTAAACCATGGTATTTCCCTCCCAAAGGAAGCTATCACAATGTGGTTAAAATGAGATTAAGTCGCTTTAAACTTTTCTCTCTCCC